AGGGATGTGGCTTCCACATATGGTCTAATATAACTAGGCATTAGACCAGTTATAGCTTTGAGAAACATGTTCATTAAATTTGTAGATGACAGTGGGAGAGAAATTGATTACTTGTTGGAGCAAAGAATTGCAATTCTCGGTAAGATCTTGATGGGCTGGAATGATGAGCTAAATCTAAAGGGTTGGCTTTAAGAAGAGATGAGGAGAGAGGCGCAGTTGAACGTCTGACTCTTGGTTTCGGCTAGTGCTGTGGTCTCTGGGGTCGTGAGATGGAGCCCCGAGTCAGGCTTTGAGCTCAGCAGGGAGTCTGCTGGAGATTCTCTCTCTCTCTCTCTCATTAGGGTAAATAAATAAAATCTTAAAAAAAAGAAGAGATGAAGGTAAAGAAAAATAAATGGGGAAGGAAAGAAAGAAGAGAGGAAATGAAAGGAAGGAAGAACACAACAATAGATTCAGCCCAAGTCAAGAGTGTGATATGTCTGGAAATTAACAAACCTATGAATAAATACCTAGATTTAGCACAATCTTGGACTGCATCATTGGCAAGTGCAGATCTTGTGGCTATATCTGGATGTTAATCCTGGTTCCAACAATGACTGGTTGTATAACTAGGGGTGTGTTATGTAACTTCAGTTTCATTGCTTCCCAAATGAGAATTCTAAAAATCAATAAAATTTTTATAGCTAAAAAGATAAACACACGTTTTTGGAAGAAAATTCGAGAAGTGGAGAAAAGTATGAAGAAAATAGTAGTCACCCATTTCTCTCAAAAACACTATTAAGAGTTTACTGTTGCCCTTTATACTGGTAACATACCTGGTTCGTGCTATGCATGCAGTTTTGCCTCTTTGTTTTCTTCATTTAACGTCATGTTATAAGCATCTTCTTACTTTATTAAACCTCTTAATTATAACAGTTTTAATGGCAATATAATAGTTTGTCATATGAATATACCCCAAGTGATTGAAATGTTACTTTTTGTTAAGCTTTTGTTTTGCTTCCTTATAAAGGATTATTAAGACATATTGTACACCTCTTTGTGGATTTGGCTTCATATTCCAGGCTATTTCCTTAGGGTAGATCCTTCAATGTTGAGAAAACTGATTCAATGCATATGACATCCTTTTATTTTTTTCTTTTTTTGGGGGGTGTAGGGGCAGAAGGAGAGGGGAGAGAGAATCTTATCGGATGCTTAACCGACTGAGTCACCCAGATGCCCCAGTGCATATGACGTCTTAAATCACTTCTTGAAAACAGCTGATTATCTTTGGGGCACCTGGGTGGCTCAGTCGGTTGAGCTGCCAGCTCTCAATTTTGGCTCAGGTCATGATCTCTGAGTCCTGGAATTGAGCCCCTTGTCAGGTTCTGTGCTCAGCAGGGAGTCTGCTTGAGGATTTTCTCTCTCCCTCTCCCTCTGCAGCTCCGCCCCAACTCTCTCTCTCTAAAATAAATAAATAGATCTTAAAAAAATAAGAAAAACAGCTGATTATCTCTCCAGAAAGGATGTGCTTAGTATCAGAGTGCTAAAATGAAGATTACTATTTCTACTTCAAAAGTACTAAGTATCAGTCATTGGCATTGATAGGGCCTCAGTAAGTCTCCAGTGTTCATGTCAATACAGAATTACATTGTTCCTAGCACTGTGCTAGTGTCCTGGGCATCAGTGAAAAATGGGACCCAATTGCCCCTGCCCTCATGGAACTTAGAGTCCATGGAGGGGACAGAAATACACAAGTGAACACAGAAGCAAACACATCATTCAGGAATGATGAGATCCCTGTTTATAGACAATAGTCCTTTTCCTATAACTGTTTAATTCACGGAGATCAAATATTTGGGATAGAGGATGTGCTGACCATCCTCACTTACTCTGCATAGAGAGAGAGGCAGCCAGGTGTGTGCTCCTAATGTTGCTCCCAGAAAAGGAGTTAAAATTTTCAAGGAACGATACTCTCAGAAACTGATGAACTTTACCCCACCATGATTCCAGCCATCTTCTAGCCCTCCTACCCTACATAAGGCTGTGCCAAACAGATGACCCAGTGGGGGCAGATGCATTTAGGAAGAGAAAGCACTTTACTTGCAAAGCCCGCAGGGCATCAGACTTTAAAAAGACTGGCTTGGGGGCGCCTGGGTGGCTCAGATGGTTAAGCGTCTGCCTTCGGCTCAGGTCATGATCCCAGGGTCCTGGGATTGAGTCCCGCATCGGGCTCCCTGCTAGGTGGGGAGCCTGCTTCTCCCTCTGCCTCTTCCTCTCTCTCTCTCTCTCTGACTCTCATGAATAAATAAGTAAAACATTAAAAAAATTTAAAAAAATAAAAAGACTGGCTCGTCAGACACAAAAACCCAACAAATATTCAAAGGATAAAACTGCAAATCAGCAAGAATACTAAGGTTGTATTATTCTCTTTATGGTGGAAAATAACATTCTTACATGATTATCATATTTTCAAAGGTCATGACACATCTTTAGACATCAGCATAGCAAAAATAATAAAAATACATTCTTTTGGGCAACCATAAATGAGTCAGGGTGATCTTGTTTTGGTTTAACCCAGGGTGCAATGTGGTCCCTTCCCCCTTCGTACTGTGGTATCATGAATTGCTTAATCATTGGAAGAAAGGCAAAGTGTCAGTTTTTGTTTCCGCAAGAGATGCGGTATGGGGTGTGTGTGTGTGTGTGTTTGTGTTGGAGGGAAGGTAAATACCCTAGTGCTTTTTATGCTACTCTTCATTCTCCTGCCAGTACCTCTCATTGGCCAAATTCAACCAGAAACCAAAGGGTGAAGGAGACTGGCTAATGCAGTCCTTGGGACTAGCCTCCCATGGGGCAGAGAGCAGGGTGGAGAGTGGATCTGGGGAGCCGACCTAGAATAACCAACAAAATCTTCCTTTTGCAAATTACTAAGAGGAAGAGCAGTCTCTGAAAGTGACAGAAATGGGAAAGTGAAAAAAGATGGGAAAGTGTCCAGAGAGGTAGGAAGAAAGTCTGGGTAGAATAGCATTACAGAGGCTACGGGTGAGGAATTTCAAGGAGTAGGGAGTATCTGACAGCTTCAAATGCAATGCAGATCAAGTCAAAATAGCTGTTGGATTCAATGATTTGGAAGTCATTGGTGACCTTCATTAGAGTGGTTTCAAGGAGTAAGATGGAAACTGGATTGCCTGTGCTAAAGAAGGAGTAGGGAAGAAGTGATGGGAAGGAGATAGGGAGGCATTAGAGGGTGATGTAAGATTGAGGGAATGTGTTATGGATATGTTACAGGTCCTATGTTATAGGTCCAGTGCTAGTGAGGATGATGATGAACTGCCTTCAAGTAGCTTTTGTTATTTCTTTCTGTGAAGTTGAAGGCTGGGTCATCTACTGTTAGTGAAGAAGGAGGTAGCAGAGGGAAGACTTGAACAGACCAGGGAAATTTGCACTAGTCTTGGTGGGGGCCAGAAGGAGGAGCTCTTTAGGGGACTGGGGACAGTGCTGGGGTTGGTAACGCCCCTTTGTTGTGGCCCCATTCGGCAGGACTTTGTAATCTTTAGTCCTGTTCAGCCTGGAATAGGTATGTTGGATATTACAGAAGGTAACAGGGTTGACAAAAGGTCAAGGAGCCAAGGATAGTGGCAATATTGGCAAAAGACTAATGGAAGAGATGAACCATAGGTCTTGGTTGGGTGGGCGAAGGGAGTAAAGCCCAAAGGAGGCTTGTTTGGGGGAACTGGAAGCATCAAGGTGGTCTCGAAGAGGTGGAAGAAGAGAAATATTAATGATTATTGCTAACAGTCATGGAGAGTTTACTAGGGGCCAGACATATTTACTTCTCACAATAATCTTAAGAGTTCTGTCCTATTGTTATTTTTATAGATAGAGAAATTGAAGCAGAAAGCTTCAGTGAGTTGCTCTAAGTCATACTCTTGGTCAATGGCAGATCAGAGATTAGAACCTAAATGGTCCAATCCCAGAGGCTGTGCTCTTGAGAACCAGGCAAGGGATTAGGGAGTAGAGAGATTTGTGGTCTGGGTATGGTATTCTGTGACTTAAGATTTCAGTGCTGATGCAAATAGATACTTCTACACCTATGTTCATGATAGCACTATTCACAGGAGACAAAAGGTGGAAACAAACCAAGTGTCCATGAACAGATGAATGGATAAACAAAATGTGGTATGTACACACAATGGGATACTATTCAGCCATAAAACATAAAAGAAATTTGAAATATGCTACCACATGGATGGACCTTGAAAACATTATGCTTAGTGAAATAAACCAGGCACACAAGGACAAATATTGTATGATTCCACTTGTGTGAAGGTACCTAGAATAGGCAAACTCAGAGAGACAGAAATTAGGATAGAGGTAACTAGGGGCTGGGAGGAGAACATATGGTGAGTTATTGTTTAGTGGGTACACAGTGTTTGTCGGGGATGATAAAAGAAGTTTTGGTTATGGATAGAGGTGATAGTTACACAACATTGTGGATGTATTTGATGCCCTTGAATTGTACGCTTACACAGGGCTAAACTTCTAAATTATGCAATGTACATTCTACCACAATTTAAAAAAAAGGATTTCTGTGGTGAACTACTTCTGGGTGCTTACAACAAAAAGTCTGATTTAGAAGCGATTTGCAGAATTTATTTATGTATTTTAAAGATTTATCTGAGAAAGAGAGAGAGAGCATGAGTGGGAGAGGCAGAGGGTGATGGAGACAGAATCTCAAGCAGACTCTGTGCTGAAAATGGAGTCTGACGTGAGCCCCATCTCAACACCATGAGATCATGATCTGAGCTGAAACCAAAAGTCAAATGCTTAACTGACTCTGTGCACCACCCAGGTGCCCCAGTTGTGGAGTTTAGCCTGGAGGTGAAGATGGTTAGGGTTGGGGAGCTCAGGAAAGGGAGAGGCCAAGAGTTGAATGGGTCACCCAGCAGGAGCTCTATGTCCTGACATTAATCTGTCCTCAGGGGGCAGCACGGTGCCATCAACAGGCCCAATGCACTGAATACATGGAGAGTGCAAATCAAACTGGGATGATTCACTTCCATTTCCGCCCCTTCTCCAAACTCCCTGAGGTGCAGATGCTGATTTTCGTGGCCTTCCTGATCATGTACCTGGCCAGCATCAGTGGCAATGTCTCCATTTCTCTCATCATCTGGATTAACCATTCTCTGCATACCCCCATGTACTTTTTCCTGGCCAACTTGGCAGTTCTGGAGATTTGCTACTCTTCCACCATTGCCCCTCTGACTCTGGCCAGCATCCTGTCCACGGAGAGAGACTTCATCTCCTTGCCTGGCTGTGGTACCCAGATGTTCTTCTTCATCTTCCTAGGCAGCGCTGACTGCATTCTACTAGCTGTCATGGCCTATGACAGGTTTGTGGCCATCTGTCACCCTTTGCGTTACACCCTCACGATGAGCTGGCGGTTGTGTGTCCAGCTGGCCCTGGGGTCTCTTGTGCTGGGGTTCATCTTGGCAATGCAGCTGACCATGCTCATCTTCCAACTCCCCTTCTGCAGCAGCAAAGAAATCAGCCTGTTCTATTGCGATGTCCTCCCTGTCATGAGACTGGCCTGTGCAGATACCTTGGTCCATGAGGCCACGCTGTTTGTGGTCAGCATCATCGTCCTCCCCATCCCCTTCCTGCTTATCATTCTCTCCTATGTCTTCATCGCGGCCGCCATCCTGAAGATCCGCTCGGCAGAGGGGAGGCACAAGGCCTTCTCCACCTGCTCCTCCCATCTGACTGCGGTCCTGCTCCAGTACGGATGTGGGGGGCTCATCTACCTGTGCCCCAGTTCCAGCTACTCTCCAGAGAGGGACCAGGTAGTGTCTGTGGTGTACACATTCATCACCCCTGGGCTGAACCCCTTGATCTACAGCATGAGAAACAGAGAGCTTAAGGATGCTTTGAAGAGGACAATGATCAGGTTCCTGTTGTCCTAAGCACGGTGAACACTCTGGATGTTCCTCTCCAACATTGCTGGGAAGAAACAAATGAGTGTGCTTTCTGGAAGATGAGGAGGTGGGAGCTAAGAGGTCATTGGATTTATACTGTTACTTCTTCCTGGTTATATTATTCCTGAAAAGTCATTTTTTTTTCCTCAGCCTCCGATTCTTCATCTCTAAAATGGGGATGAAAATGCCCACGAGACTTAAATCTGGGGTAGTTTTGAGGACCCAAAGTGAAAATACTTCATGACTTTTAAAGGGCGATATGGCAGTGAATGTGGTCACTGCTTATCCTCATCATTACATGTAAAGTCTATGTCCAGTTCTCAGGTTCTTAGCGGGCTCACGTGTTGACACATGTGCTCAGGGCCAGAGCCAAGAACAAGATGCACATCAAACCGACACCGTTGCAACCACTCTCTGCTGATTCCTGGGGTGCAAATGCTGAGCTTAGCTTATACCTTTTCAAATTCTCTTTTTTTTTAAATTTTTTAAAGATTTTATTTATTTATTTGAGAGAGGGAACACAAGCAGGGGGAGTGGGAGAGGGAGAAGCAGGCCTCCCGTTGAGCAGGGGAGCCCGATGCGGGGCTCGATCCCAGGACCCTGGGATCATGACCTGAGCCGAAGGCAGACGCTTAACATCTGAGCCCCCCAGGCGCCCCTCGAATTCACTTTCACCCTAAATTCTTCTTTCTGGGAAAGTTGATGGGGAAAGCGCTGGAGTTTAAAAAAAGTTGTGGTTCTTTTTTCTTACCTTTATACCCAGAGCTAATCTGTCTCCATCTCAATCTCTGACTCTGTGTTAGTTGTTAGTCTGCGTCTAACTCACTCTCCCCGTGCCTGTTGGGTCTCCTCCCCATTGTGTCCTTTCTGTCTCAGACACACACACACACACACACACACACACACACACACACACACACTCTTACATGTTTCACATTTCTCTCTGTCCCTAGCTGCTATGGTCTGATTATTTGTGTCCTCCTACCTCATCTGTTGAAATCCTAATCCCCAATGGCATGGTATCAGGAGATGGGGCCTTTGGGAGGTAATTAGGTCATGAGGATGGAGCCCTCAGGAACGGGATTAGCGCATTCATAAAAGAGACCCCACAGAGCTCCCTGGCCCTTCCGCCATGTGAAGATACAAAAAGTCTGTGACCTGGAAGAGGTTCCTCACCCAACCCTGACCTCAGACTTCCAGCCTCCAGAACCGTGAGAAATAAATATCTATTGTTTACAAAGCCACCCAGTCTATGGTACTTTGTAATGGCAGCCTGAATGGACGAAGACATGAAGTGTACATACTATGGAAAGATTGCCTTTTTAAACTGAGCCTTTCTGGGTAATGTTGGTTCAGATCTGGATTCAGGTTGAGGAAAAGCTAGTTCTGTGAGGATAAACACTGGCTGGACACAATGAAGGGAAAGGACTCTAATGTGGCTGTGAGCAGGAGGGTAATTGTTTCAGGACGATCCCTGTCTCAGGGTAATGGCATCAGAACATCAGAACATAGATAATTTACTGTCCTTTTGTAGGGTGGGGGAAGCTCATTTATTCCTCTGCCCATTGATTAGTGAGGGATTTACTGGGGTGCTTGACTGGCTCAGTTGGTGGAGTGTGCCCCTCTTGATCTCAGGGCTGTGAGTTCAAGCCCCGTGTTGGTGTGGAGCCTACTTTAAAAAAACAAAAATAAAAAATTATGAGTGATTTATTCATTCAACAATATTTAAGAAGACAGTAAACAACTGTTTATTGAACTCTGCTATGCATTATGTACCCACCTGTGGCAGGTGGAGCAAGAAGTCGAAAGGTAAGTAAGAGGCAACTCCTGCCTTGAAGGAAGTTAAGTCTAGTAGTGTTTAAGAACACAAACCATAAAAAAAAAAAAAAAGAACACAAACCATGATAGCCCAAGGGCAAGCGATACAATGCTATGAGCTTCTGGAGGAGGAGCAGATAAAGGAATCAAGGCAAGTGTGATGGGGGAGGTGGTATTTGAGCAACACCATGCAGGTGTCCAGGTCTCTCTCTGTGTGCAAAGAGGAGCAGGAAGGGCATTTCTTTCTTCCTTCTTCGTACTTTTTAAAAGATTTTATTTATTTATTTGAGAGAGAAAGAGAGAGAAAGAGAGCGTGCCTGCTCATGTGGGAGAGGGCTGGGGGGGCAGGGACAAGCAGACTCAGCTGAGCCTGATAAGGGGCTCAGTCTCATGACCCTTAACTGACTGAGCCAGCCAGGCGCCCAGGAAGGGCATTTCTGAAGGGGGAAATTGTAAAGGCAGAAGAATGAGCTCTTTGTGCCTCTGTTTCCTTATCTGGAAAAGTATAAAATGTCTGCTACATTTTTTTTTTTTTTCTGAAAATGTATCACAGACTTAGAAGCTAGAAACCATGACCAGGATTCATATTACATGGAACTGAAATGTTCCCATCTTCCTTTGAAAGACAAGAACTTGGGGCACGTGGGTGGCTCAGTTGGTTAAGCGTCTGCCTTCAGCTCTGATCTTGATCCTGGAGCCCTACGATCGAGTCCCGTATCGGGCTCCTTGCTCCGTGGGGAGCCTGCTTCTCCCTCGGCCCCGCCGCTCCCCCTGCTTGTGCTATCTCTCTCTGTCAAATGAATAAATAAAATCTTAAAAAAAGAAAAGAAAAGACAGACAAGAACCGGAAAGGATCTTCTTTGGTTCACTTACAGACACTTGCTGCCCTTCCCGTGTTCTACTGCGCTATTCCCCTACATCAGTGTTATTTTCTGGACACGAGTCTTGTTGAATAATTGGTGTTTGGGAGAAATAAACTTTCTATGGTCAAACTAGTGTGAAGAGTTCTGTGCTGATCAAACCCCAACCAGTGGTCTCCTACAGGTTCACTTGGTGCCTGTAAGTGCAAATGTGCAGTCAGACTCTAGGATGAGGGATGCATTTCTCTGATGTTTTCTGAATTCTGTCACCACTGAACTCTTTTATTCCTTACCGGGTTGAACCTGCTGAGGCTGGCTAACTACCAAGAGGGTGGTTTCACTAGTGATTGAAATAGTCCAGGCATTTTTCAATTCTCCATGCTCCTTGAGAAAAACAAGTGTAGTTATCATGGGTTAGTAGGCTTCTTCTCAAGTGATTGCATAAGGGAATTAATGATTGCTCATTTATCGTCACAAAAACCCATGAGGCGGACCCTGTTGTTTTCTCTGCTTACAGATAAGGAAACTGTGACACAGGGAATTTCAGTAACGTGTTCAAGGTCACACAGCCAGAACAGGCAGAACATGAGATTTGATGTGCATGGTGTGGTTTCAAAGCCCGGGGAACAAAACTATTACCTCTCCCCAGCAAACTATCCCTGTATTATGGGAGCGTGGGGAGATCCCTTCATTCTTCTGTAGTTAATTTCATAATAAAATGGGGGCAATAATATCTACTCTATTTCCTCAAATTATTGTGACATCTGGGGGGGGGCACAGAAAAACTGTAAAAGTGCAATGAAAGATTCAGCATGGTTAGTTTAATATCCAAATGGAGGGATGCCTATGTTGGTGCAGTTGGTAGAGCATGCAACTCTTGATCTCAAGGTTGTGGGTTCAAACCCCACATTGGGCATGGAGGCTGCTTAAAAAAATAATATCCAAATGGAGAAATGTATGAGATGGCTTATTTTTTTAGTTATAAACATTTTAAAGCCATAGTTATTCACTTGCCTTTCCCCTAGGCTCCACTGTATTTATCTGTTCCTCTTGACAGGTGTTTCAAAGGTGTTGTAAGAAACAAACACGTCTTCTGCAGCTCAAAGTAACCACAAGCTCCTCTGAGTGAAGCTTCTGTTCTAGGCTCTTCAGGGGAGCACTTGGTGCTTTTAGGCTCGAGGGATTGAGGAGTTTATGTAAACATAACAAGAAATGTATAAGGTTCAAATTATTTATATTGTCAAATCAAAGGCGTAGGTATATGGCATGTGGAGGTTCGTACTAGGAAAACATCTGAATAACGTGATATAAGATCTCTTTGTAAGGGGTGCCTGGATGGTTCAGTTGGTTAAGAATCCGACTTGATCTCAGCTCAGGCCTTGATATCAGGGTTATGAGTTCAAGTTCTGCAATGGGGTCCATGCTGGGCCTGGAGCCTACTGCAAAAAAAAAAAAAAAAAAAAAAAAAAAAAAAGAAAAAAAATAAGTTGACCACAGATACCTGGGTTTATTTCTAGTGTCATGAGTTCAAGCCCCATGGTGGGCTCCGACTTAAAAAAAAAAAAAAAAAAAGACATGTTTGTAAATAAAACATGTTATTTTAAACTCAGTTCAATGACACAGGGCTCATTCTCCAAAACACATGGAGTTGCAATTGCATTTAGTTTTAAGGAAGGATCATCTTTCTTCCTCAGGGAGAAGAGAGGAGGATCCCCAGGGACTCTGTGTGTGTGTGTGTGTGTGTGTGTGTGTGTGTGTGTGTGTGTGTGTGTGTTAGAGGCCCACCATGCCTTGGTTAATCTCCAAATATTTGCATTCCACTTACTTCATAGTAGCCCTGGAAGGTGAATAATACTGGTTTGTTGCTCTTAAGCAGTTCACGGGCTAGCCAGGGACACAGATGGGTAAGCAGCTAGGTACAAGACAACAAAGGGTGGGCTTTAAAAAGAGGTCTGAACAAGTTCTCTTGGGGGCAAGCAGGCAGGGGGGCCAAGGGGCCGCCCGAGTGAACCAGAGGGTTCTGTCTTGAACAAGGAGCAGGGGTCTGCCAGACATGAAATGGTAAAAGGGCCTATCGGGCAGAGGTAGGTAGGAAATCCTGGGCACATCTGGCTCAGAGAAGAGGTGGGAGTTTGGTGAGGCTGACAATGGAGTTGTGTGTGTCATGGAGTGACAGTGCATGGGGCCGGGGCCAGAAGGGGCAAGGGCCTGAATGCCATTCTAAGAGTACGGACTCCCTCCTCTTTGTAATGAGAGGCCACTGAGAAGTTTCAATCAGAAGAAAGACATAATGGAGCCATATTATGGGAAGATTCATTTATTAAATTTGGTAACCATTAACTGTGAGTGCCTAGTCCATTTTTGGCCCTATGCCTGGGTCTGGGTCCATGTTGATAGAAGAGAAGAGACAAGACTGCTTCCCTCACGGAGTTTACAGAAGGTGTGTGAGGCAGGCCAGGTCATTCGTAGTGTGGTAGGGCTATGGTGAAGTCCAGGGTGTCACAGGGGCACGTTTGGGAGACACTTAAGTCAATCCTGGAGGGTGAAACATTTGCTCTGAGGCCTGGAGAATATATCAGAGTTGTCCAGGACGGATATGGGGGAGAAGAGAGCTCTAGAAGGTGAATAGCATAACTCTGGCATTAATTTGGGATTTGAACAATGTACTGGGTAGCTAAGAGATGGCTCCTGGCTTTCATTCTCCTGTGTAATCCCTTCACCTTGAGTGTTGGCTGCAGCTGGTGAGTAGCTTCTAGTGAACAGAATACAGAAAAAGTGATGTCACAGCTGAGATTAGGTTACAAATACACCTTGGCTTCCATCTCTCTCTCTCTCTCTTTCTCTCTCTCGTCTTCCTGCTCTGATGGAAACCAGCTGCCATGTTGTGAGCCGCTCTATGGAGAGGACTACATGGCAAAGAAACCAAGGGAAGCTTCTGGCCAATAGCCCTTGAGGAGCCCAATCCTGCCAACCAGAGTGAACTTGGAAGCAGACCCTCCCAAGTTAAGCCATGAGATGAGACTGTTGCCCCAGGCAACACCTTCTCTGCCGTCTGTGAGAGATTGTGAGACAGACGCACCCAGCTCAGCTGCACGGGGATCCCCCCGAATTACAGAAGCCAGAGGGTAATAAAGGTTTATTGTTTCCAGCTGCTAGATTCAAGGGCCATTTGCTATGCAGCTGTATACAACCAATACAAACAATAGGGGTAAGGGGGAGAAAACCACAGGTCAGTAAGTTTATTCTCCAACCCTCCTGCAGTGGGGGAAGAGATGCTCTTGGGAACAGAAAGGACCTTCCCCTTAAATTCTCTAGTTCCCCTTGTCTCTACTCACCACCATTACCTTGAGGTGCACCAGCCAGAAAGTGGTCTCGCCTGTTCCGCAGATGGCCCAGAGGGGGTAAGGCTCAGTCCTTTTCTCCAAGGGGAAAAGAAGCAGGCTCAGAGTGGGGAGGGAGAAGGAAGTGGAACTCCCAAATGCCCGGATCCTCTTTTTGGTTTGTTTGTAAAAGTGAAATTAAGTGTTGGCTGAATTATACATAGCCAAAACGCACACTTGATGTGGACTATGTTTAATGGGGAAATAGCTACACCAAGACAGAGTGGGTGGGGAACCAAGATCCACTGTGGGGCAGAAAAATAAAAATACATCAGAGAGAAGGGGCTCCTACTGAGCCTGGAACCTTAAGTCCCTGTCCACTGACCTGGAGACCCTAGCGTCCACTTGGGCTCAATATCAGTCTTTTTCACCAGCCTCTGGACTCTCCTTGCCCAGGTTCCATATTCCAGTTAACTTGACTTTTTCCAGTTCCTTATACATAACTAGCAGGTGGAATCCATACTTCTCTGCCTGGCAGGGATGAGTAAATATTAATATACTAATAGAAAATGAATAAAATAGGGTTCATGCCTAATGAGAGTTTTAAAGAAGGCTTGAAGTCTGTAACTACCTTCAAATAGAATGCTATAATAATAGACGTCTGCTGAGGTGTCCCCTCTTGGGTTCCTGGACTCCAACGGCACTTAAGAGGGCTCTTTACAGTGTTTTTAATATTTAAAAAGTTTTAAGGAAATCATATAGTCATTTCTGTTATGGCCCCATAGACTAACCAAGAAGTTATTATATTTTTTCTTCATGGAAACATCAGTAGGAAATCAAATGTCTTTTTGGTTTTCTAGTTTTATTGAGATATAATTAACATATGACATGGTATTAATTTAAGGTATACAGCATAATGATTTGAGATTTTATATATATATATATGTAGTGCAAAATAAATTTAGTTAACATCTGTGACCTCACATAGTTAACAATTTTTTTCCTGTGATGAGAACTTTTTTTTTTTTTAAGATTTTATTTATTTATTTATTTGTCAGAGAGACAGCGAGAGAGAGAGCACAAGCAGGGGGATCGGCGGGCAGAGGGAGAAGCAGGCTCCCTGCTGAGCAAGGAGCCCAATGATGCCCGACTTGATCCCAGGACCCTGAGATCATGACCTGAGCTGAAGGCAGACATTTGACCATCTGAGCCACCCAGGGGTCCTGAGAGCTTTTAAGATCTACTGTCTTGGCGACTTTGAAATGCACAATACATTCTTGTTAACTCTGGTTGCCATGCAGTATGTTACATCCCCAGGACATAACTGGCAGTTTGTACCCTTTGACCTCCTTCATCCATTTTGCACCCCCACCCCTCGCAACCACCAATCTGGTCTCTGCATCTGAGTCGAGGAATCCAATTCGAGGAATTTACCCTGTAAATATATTTTGATAAGGATAAGGAATCTTTTGAACTAAGAGATCCATGAATGAAAACAAAGACTTGATCTTGAAAAGGTTGGGAACCACTAGTTTTGACCAGCCCCCTATGTCACAAATGAGAAAGAAGGTTGTGTGATGTGAAGTGACAGCCGTTGCATGGCAGAAACTCTGCCTAGAACCCAGGCCTCCCAGCGCTGTGTCAGCAATCATTCTCCAGCCCCATAGCAACTCTCCCTTCATGCAAAGGACAGATTACATTTCTTAAATGTTTGGACAAAGGCAAGGAGCAAGAAATAGTGGTGGAAATTATAGGGAGGGAAATTTTTGTTTTGTATTGCAACAAACAAACAAACAAACAAACAATGGTTGGAACTCTTCCACCAGGAAAGATGCTTCCTTGAGGGTGTCTGGAAAAATTGTGAAACAATTAAGATGGGGAAAAAAAAATAAAAAAGATTACCAGGTGTCAGATGGCATGCTAGGCCTTTCTGGGTTATTTGCTTTTATTATTGATCTGTGCCTCCTATGGTCTTGTAACTATTTTACAATTCTGTGAATTGTAGAAAACTGCTGGTAATGCAAATAATTCTTGTTCATAGAGATGCAAATGAAATCTTTCTGATGGAGGTGCCATTGATCTCCTCCCACCCCCAGAAACCAGTTTTGCGTTTAACATACTTATTTCAGCATTCCTGATTGCCTGTATATGTGTGTTCTTTGGGTCCTTCTCTAAACAGTTTTTTTGACACCTTAATCGTTCCCTCATTAATTTCCCAGGACCCTGGGATCATGACCTGAGCCGAAGGCAGACGCTTGACCGAATGAGCCACCCATGCGCCCCCGATTTTATCTTTTTAAAAACAATTATCATTAACAAGGAGGCCTTGAATGTTCCATCTCTGGATGTGTTCAGGCAGAAGCTGAATGGCTAACCTTGATCCTTATTCCAGACTCCTAGGCCCTTTCCAGACTTTAATGTGGAGCTGTTCACATATCTGTTTCCCTCAGGAGACTCTCTTTTCCTAAGACGCGGGACCTAGCCACCCATCCCCACTAACAAAAATTTAAAGAAAGGTGGGATACGGTTTCTGACTTACTCACCTTTTCCATTTATGACCACCAGTGGGCGCAGAAGCCTTCCTTTACCAAAGTCGGGAACCCACCTAAGGGAAGGCCGGGGGTGGAAGGAAGTGTAGCCTACAGGGAGGATCTGGGCTGAGAATCACAGAGTTCATCCACCCGACCGCCTACAGACCGTATCTTTATGGGAGGCGATGAAGTCAGCATGGAGCAAGCACTAAGATCGCTGAAGAGGGCAAAGTTCTGTTAGAATTACGAAAATATTTACAGCCTTTTAACCTGAATACATGTAGCACATTCTTTTCCTGACTTGAGAATTCAGTCTTCGCACTGCCAGACCCACTTGCTGAGCGCCGCCCTCCGCGGGATAGATCACTGGTTCCCAAGGGAGAAGACGAATGGAGAAGAGGGAAGAGGGGGTGGGGAGGGGTGTAGAGGGAGGGGTCAGCACGAAGATCCCGCCCACTTTTTCAGAAGACACATCCCACCCGGGAACCTACACCGCGTAGGAACTGAGACAGCTTCAGCTTTCCGAATAGATAGAGATAACACACATCTCCATCTTACCACCCTGAGCTCTGCGGTACGAACCAGTCATTCCTCCTCTGTCGCCCGGGCCTCACGGCACACCGAAGTGGGTATTTACTCTGACTTATAGACACGGAAACGGAGTACCGTAGAGAAACGGCGACTTCCCCAAAGTTGTACACATTCTTAGCAGCAGGTGCTGACTTCAACATTGGACTGCTTCCATTTCTCGGAGGAGTCCCGATTGCCAACGGTGTCAAACCCAAATTCTTCGCCCCCCACCTGTTCCGTCCCGTCGTATTCCCAGTTATTTCCTCTAGGAACACGCGTCCATAGCGCCAACCCGCGGGCTCCTGGACGGCCAACTCAGACACTCGGAGCGCCCCTCCTCCCGGCGGGACGCCTGGCTCTCCCTGGCATCGCCAGAGTTCTCGGTTCGCAGGACTGTGTGCGGCTGGGCCCGGCACAGGTTGGTGCAGCCGGTGAGTGGCGGTCGGCTGGAAAGGATGGGCTCTCCAGCAGGACTTCTCAGTCCCCGGAGGGGCCAGCCGCGCGGGTAGCTGGGGTCATGGGGGCGGAGACCCGCTCGGGCCCTTTAAGGAGGAGCGCGGGGCGCGGCCCAGGTGAGGGGCGGGCCCGCCGGGCGGATCTGCGCTGCGCGCCGGCGCCGGCCCGGGAGCCGGATTTGGAGCGCTCGGCGCCGGCGGGGCCGCAGGGGGCGGCGCGGCGGAGCCTCCAGTGGCCTCGGACGCTCCTCCTAGCCCGCGGCCGCCGCCCGTCTCCGCCTGTGCCTCCAGCTCCTTCGCCCCGGCCCGGCCGGCCGCCACTTCCGGCCGCTCACCTGGGACGCGCTCACCTGCCTCCGGGCGCCTGGGCACCGGGATGAAGGACCGGCTGGAGCAGCTGAAGGCCGTGAGTCCCGCCGCACCCGGGAACTGGCGGGCCGGGGGCTGCAGTTGCGCGGGAGAGGGCCTTCCCCTTGCTCCCCACATCGGGGCTAGAGGGCCCCCCCGCGCGAGGCCTGAGCTCCCCGAGCTCCAGCCGCATCTGTCCCCTTTCCGCACCTCCCTCTCCTCCTCTTCGGGGTCATGTGCCGGTGATTCATCCCTGGGCTGCGTTTTCCATGGATGCCAGCAGCTCTCTCCCCCCGCCCCCCGTCCCTCCCCCAAGCTGGACAGTGTCACTCCAGAGCTGGGGTCCGCAGGTGGGGGCTGCCTGAGTCCAGTGGGGTTCTCTGTGAGGTCAGGGGTCACCTCCGCCTGCCTGCTACTGCCTGGCACTATGCCCAGGGGCAGCCTCCTCCTACCCTCCCTTCTTCTCTCCCTGGGCGGGGGGGGGGGGGGGGCGTCGAATCGGGCTGCCCCTCCCCCCCAGGAGCAGCTCAGAGTTCCTGGGTGACCTCCTGAGCTGTGAGCTTGTCACGTGCCAGGATGGGCCCCGCTCCTCGCCGTTCCGAGGTCTATAATTATTAATTTCTCCCTCATCCTCGGGACAGCTGAGCAAAGGATCCAAAGGTAGACCGCCTCCGGTCCTACTGCACAAAAGCTGTAAAACCTCAGGCTACTTACTCTTCTGAGCGTCTGTTTCCTTATCTGTCCAGTGAGGATGATCATACCTTAGAGATTTGTTATGATATCAAATGACATAATGGGGCTCGATATGGAGAATTGTTAAAGCATGGGTTTTTGAGTCACTGACTCATTCAACAAATAATTACTGAGTACATTCTATGGGGCAGGCCCCGTGCTAAGCCCTGGGGATTGGGTGACACAGGCTCTGTCTTTACGGAGTTTTTTTTTTTTTTTTTTTTTAGATTTTATTTATTCATGAGAGACAGAGAGAGAGAGAGAAGCAGAGGGAGAAGCAGGCTCCCAAGGAGCAGGGAGCCTGATGCGGGACTCGATCTCAGGACCCTGGGATCATGACCTGAGCCGAAGGCAGATGCTTAACCATCTGAGCCACCCAGGCGCCCTTTACGGAGTTTTTAAATATAGCCTTTGATAGATACAAAGCAGTCCCTCTGCCTGGGAGCTTGTTAGGAGTGCGAAGCCTAGGTCCCCGCCTGGACCTACAAGATCAGTCTGATTACTCACGAATCTCCCCGGGTGATGCAAGACCACATTCAAGTTTGGGGAGCACAGGAATGGATAGAACTGGGCTTGCCTCCTGGCTACGCTGCTTGCTCTGAGCCTAGTTTTGCCATCTGTAAAGCGTGTGGTTGTGGGGACTGAGAGTGTGAGAGAGCACGCAGAGCCCTTGTAAGGTGCAGAGCACAGGTAGGTTTAATAGCTGGTAAATTATTATGCTGATAGCTAGCTGTCGAAGCTCTTTGGAAAAATGCGGGCCTCCTGCAAGTGTGAGGGACTGCTGGGATGGCGTTACACTCTTCCCTTGTCTCTGGTGAGACCTTCATGGCCCTCTGGCCTTCTCTGCCTGCTGTGGGTCCCAGGGCTGCAGAGGAGGTGAGGGTGATGAGGAACAAGAGAAGCAGAAGGCACAGCCGCAGGGAGTGGGAGGGAGCCTCCCTGCCTCCCGCCTGCTTGCTGGCTCTCATCTGAGCCTCATAACACCCTGGTCGCGGACAGGGCAGATTTTATTGCCCCTATTTTTATACAAGAGGCAAGTAGCGCTCAACTTGGGTAGGAGGGGTGTCCCAGAGCTGGGCAGGGCGCAACCCGGGGAGGAACCCAGGCTCCTGGTGCTCTCCACCGGACTCTTTTCCTGAGGCGTGCTGGTTGGGGAGGCAGAAAGGAAAGGTCTTGAAGCTCTTCCTCTATCAGCCAGCACAGCCAGCAATCCTAAAACAGCGCAGGACTGAACAGCGGGCAGCGGCGACTCCCTTCCTTGTGTTAGGAAGTTCGTTTCCAGAGGAAGATAGCCCACAGCCTCTTTCAAGCCCACTGTCAACAAAAAGCAAAGAACTTTGAGTTCTGAGTTTCCTTGCCAGGAAAGCCAAGCAAGTCCCCTTGCTTCCCAGAGCCTCATTGTTACCCTCTGTCAAATGGAGCTTCATCCCTGGGGAAGGTCAAAGTCAGCCTGAAGGCTGTGTAGTTACGGGGTGCCGCCCTGGTGTTTTGGAGCAGGGGTTTGGCTGGTAGAGCTGTACAAGGAGGACCAGGCTGCAGGTTCGAAGGTTCTAATTGTCGCCTGGACACCGAATAGCTGCGTTCCTTCGTTTCCTTTGTATCCTTACCTCTCTGCTTCTCTGTTCCTCTTTTGTTAAACGAGAATTTTGGTTCATCTCAGAACCCCTCCTGGCAAATGTTCACGTCTTCTGTGAGGGCTGTTCTTCAAGTTTGCATGGATTTTGGTTTCTAGCCCACACCCCATCCCTGTCCCCCTGCAGGGGAGAGATGCCTTCACTGCAGCAAGATAACCCCTCTCTGTTTCCTTTCATCGATAAAGGATGTTCGTTACCCTGCATGAAACCAGTTTCACACCGAGCAATCCTGTGCAATCTCTGTGGCATCTTTCTAAACCTTGGGGGAGGCGAGATGAGAGCTGCCTCCAGGTAGTTGGAGGGCTGTCATGTGCAGGAGATTAGCTTTCCTCCTTGTAGGTAAAGGGAGAAGATTGAAGTTGATGGGTAGAACTCAGGACTCTGCACAAAAGCTTTGTCAGTAGTCAGAGCTGCCCAAGGATGGACTGGGCTGGCCAGAGAGGTTGTGAAGCCTCAAGCCTGGGGGTGAGGCAGGAAGCTTGCGGGAACATCGAACGTTGTAGGAATCTGAGCAGCTCTTTGAGGGCTGGGGGGCAAACAAAAAGATTTCAAGCCCTTACCCACCCTGATGATGTGTGGATGCTTTGTTGTCTGTGAGCCTGTGCCAGGCACCGTGAGGCTCTGGGGTCTCTAGGACCGAAGTCTCAGTTGCGCCCATAAAGTGGGTCATCGTACTTTCCCCATAGGGCCATCGTGGAAGTTGAATGAGATAATCCGAGATAATCACCTGCCATAGGACACGTGAGTTCCCCAACTTGACCTTCTGGGAGCCGCGTCCACACTGAGGGGGCATACCTCCAGAGGCCAGGGTCACAGACCTGACTCATCCCTTGCCCTGCTCTTCCTGGTAGGCTTAGTCAGCAGCTGCTTTGCCAGAGAGTAGGACCGGCTTGCCAGGATGTGTACCCCCAGCACGTCTCACAAGGCGGTTCTTGCTGATTTCTCACCAGTCGAATTTTGGGTCTGCTGAGTCCAAGCCAATTCCTGTCCCGGCTCTCTTTTCATTCAGCAAACATTCACCGACCACCTACAATGGCCCAAGCACCTGTGAAAGGTACTGGGCTATACTGGTGATTACCACCTGTTCCTGGATGTTCTTACGAAGTTCACAGAGAGGGAGACCCACAAGAAGCAGAAAATGATGATACCATCCTTGTGGTGGAAGCCACTGTGGAAAGACCCCGTTGACTGGCCTCCGGGGACAAGGCACTAGAGAGTGGGGGGGTGCTTCCCCGAAGGGATGCTTGAGCTCAGGTCCTGTTAAGACCAAGTCCCATCTCTTCAAGGAACGTAGAGTCTCCTGAGAGGCGAGGATCCGGGATTTTCTCAGCCACTCTCCCATTAGTGAGTGCTTCACTTCTTCACCACGATCAGTGCTTTGGGACTTCTATGTTCTGGGAATGCTCCTCCTCATCCTTCTGGACCTCTTCCTGCTGAACATCATGTTAGGCAGAATTAGGACACAAAGTCCAGGTCTTAAAGAGTAAATGGTCATGTATGAAAAAAAAAAAACAAACCCAAATCAAAGGTAGTTAATGATAGCAGTGATGTAGGGAATAGAGGTCAAGGACTTTGGACCTCTGGAGGACTAGAAATAACTTGGGGTACACCAGGCCCTCCGAAGCCAGTGCCCATAGGGACACACTAATGAAATCAACCATGTGGGGCTCTAAAGGCCAGACTAACTCTTTATTCTTTCTGTTCTGTCTTGTGTCTTGCTGCATCCCCAAGGGCTCCTTGGCCTCCTGCTGCATTTGACATTCTGGGGTCTCCGTAGGACCAGAGGTCCCGATGATAAGGGTTTGAGGGTACCCCCCCTCAGAAGCATGGGGCTGTACTTCCCTTTAAAGCTTACTTTGTTCAGTAAATATATATTGAACTCCTACTGTGTGCCAGGTGCTTTGGCTCATAACCAAATCCTAACATCCTGACTTGAGAATCTCTTCATTGAGATTCAACTTAAGAACCTTCTCATTGAGATTCTGTCCTTTAGTGATAAGATTTCTTACTGGTCAGTGATTTCTTCCTGGGAGGATTCACCCCATGGTAGAGCAGTTTAGCTGGAGCAGACAGGAGGCCCAGCTGAGATGAGTGACAGTGGATTGAGTAGGGATTACGGACTCATCAGCCAGAGGCCAGAAGGGAAAATGCTTGGTGGAGAGAAGGGGATTAGATTTATTTTTGTTCCTGGGAGTGAGCGGGAGGCTGGGGCCTGGCAGGAGCCGGGGGGGAAATGCTGGTTTGTGTCATGCTCTCTCCCCTCCCCTCCTGTCAAAATTCCTACCTATCTTCCAAAACACATTCTTTATACTTACCCTAACTGCAGCCTAGATACTCTCGCTCCAGTCCAGCTGCCCATATGAGCTGTATTCCTTTGTAGCAAATGCCTTTCTCCTATTGGGTCAGTGGAGTTTTTGTCACCACAGAGCAGGCTTGAAACCACCTTCATTTGTTTTTTCGTGAGTTGGACTCTCTGTCTCCTAGCTCCTGTTGTCTTTAAGATTGATGATTCTAGGGGTGCCTGGCTTGCTGGGACTCTAGGGCAGATGACTCTTGATCTCAGATTGTGGGTTTGAGCCCCACATTGGGTATAGAGATGACTTAAAAATAAAATCTTAACAATCAATAATTCTCTTCCTTGTCACCATGTCATCAGCTGCTGTAAAAATGATCATTTATTGGGCAGCTACTT